TTGCTGTTTTCCAATCTGCTGGGACTGCCCCAGAGTCCAGCGAATTTTGGAAAATTACCGCCAGTGCACCTGCTATTTCTCCCGCCATCTCTTTCAGTACCCTGGGATGCATTCCATCGGGGCCAGGAGACTTATCAATCCTTAGCTCCATTAGCTTGCCCAACACTACCTCTTCCGTAATAATGACTGTTTCCAGGTCCTCACCTACCTTCGTCTCTTTGTCAATTATTGGCATGTTATTAGTGTCCTCCACTGTGAAGACCGATACAAAATACCTGTTCAATGCCTCGGCCATTTCATCATGTACCATAACTAAATTCCCCTTCTCATGCTCTATAGGGCCAATGTTTACTTTAGCCACTCTTTTTCGTTTTATATATTTATAGAAACTTTTGCTATCTGTCTTTATATTCTGTGCTAGTTTTTTCTCATGTTCTGTCTTACTTTTCTTTATAGCTGTTTTTGTGGCTTTCTGTTGACCTTTAAAGTTTTCCCAATCTTCTAGTTTCATGCTGTTTTTGGCCACTTTGTGTGCCTTCTGTTTCAATTTGATAGCCTCCCTTATTTCTTTAGACACCCATGGCAGATTACCCCTTTTCTTACAGTCCTTCCTTTTCATTGGAATATACTTTTGCTGAGCACTTTGAAAGATTGCTTTGAAAGTCCTCCACTGCTCGTCAACTGTCCCACCATAAAATCTTTGTTTCTAGTCTACTTTAGCTGATTCCTCCCTCATTCTATTGTGGTTCCCCTTGTTCAAGCACAGGACCCTGGTATTGGATTTTATCTTCACACTCTCCATCTGTATTCTAAATTCAACCATACTGTGATCACTCCTTCCAAGAGGATCCCTAACTATGAGGTCATTAATTATTCCTGTCTCATTACACAGGACCAGATCTAGGATAGCTTGCTCCCTCATTGGTTCCATTACATACTGTTCAAGAAAACTATCACGGATACACTCAATGAACTCCTCCTCAAGGCTACCCTGACCGAGCTGGTTCGACCAATCTACATGTAGGTTAAAATCCCCCATGATAATTGCCGTACCATTTCTACAGGCATTAGTTATTTCTTTGTTTATTGCCCGCCCCAATGTGATGTTATTATTTGGTGGCCTATAGACTACGCCTATCAGTGACTTTTTCCTCTTAGAATTTCTAATTTCCACCCAAATGGATTCAACTTCATTCTCCATAGAACCTATATCATCTCTCAGCACCGCCCTGATGGCATCCTTGAATATCAGAGCTACACCACCTCCCTTACCTTCCTGTCTGTCCTTCCGAATAGTCTGGTACCCTTGGATACTTAACTCCCAGTCGTGACCATCCTGTAACCATGTCTCCGTAATGGCTACCAAATCATATTCATTCGCGATGATTTGTGCCGTTAACTCATCAACCTTGTTATGAATGCTACGAGCATTCGGGTAAAGTGCCTTTATGCTAGCTTTCTTACCCTCATGATTTCCAACATCTCTAATAATATCTCCTGAGTTATCCTTCCTTTTTGCTTCTTTCATAGTCTGCCTTGAACTTAAACCCTCCTGCACACATGCTAACCTGCTGCTTACCTTTTTATTTACCATCGTACTCCCTGTCGTTTTCCCTTTCCCTTTCCTCTATTTCCAGCTGATTTCTAATCAATACACAGTGGTTATGTTTTATTGCAATTACTTTGAAATTCCTTAAGATTGTGCAGATAAGAAAAAAAAACACAAAGTGAACTGCTAACATCTATAGCATTTTATTTCTTTCTGTATAATATGGTGTCTTTAGATTCAATTGCTTTAATAACTGACACAACTTTGTGGAATGATGACAGTTTTGGCAGAAGATTGAAAGTGGTATTCCACATAGATTGGACCTGCTATTGTTCATCAGAAATATAAATAATTTGGGTTTTGGAATTGGAAATAGTATCAAATTGGTGGGCGTGGTGTGTGTAGTTGGTACTGAGGAAGACTGTGACAGATAACAAGACATCAACAATTTGGATTGTTGAAATAGCAAATCAGTTTCATACATAGGTAGGAGTAAGGTCATGCACTTTGGTATAAGGAAGTCACCACATCCGTGGATGATAAGAGTCTAAATCTGGTAAGAGTAGTAAAGGGATCTAGAAGTAGCAATTCGCATTGTATCAAAAGTAGCCATGCAGGTAAATACAACCATAACAAATGCAAATAAAACAATTTTTTTTTTTCTAGAGGAATAACATTCAAAAACAGAGAAGTTATGGTATACTTACTTAAAAACTTGGTTAAACCACGCTTATTTATTCCATCATTGGAGGCAGGTGGCTCTGACTAGGCCAGTATTGGTTACTCAACTGTTGAAAAAGTGGTGCTGAGTTGTCATCTTGAACCTGTGGTATCAGTATACCCAAAGTAATGTTAGGAGTTTGACCCAGCTGCATCAAAGAGATGATATAGTTCCAAATATGGATGGTGATCATTTCGCACTCTGTTCCATGTTTCTTCCAGTGTTTGGCATGCAAGTATTTTGTGTTCTGACTTCGCAGGTTGACATCTCATTTTTAGATATGTCTAGTCCTGCATCTAGCATGCTGTTCTGAACTTTTAATTAAACTAGTGTTGATACCCCAGATTGATGGTCATGATAGAGTGGAGAATATGCTGACCGTGAGGTTATTGATTGGCATTGGATACAATTTTGCAGCTGCTGATAGTTCACAAGACCACAAATTAGCTCGGTTTTGTGATGCCATTCTGTGTCTGTTCCATTTGGAAAGGATGGTGGTGCAGCACAGCATAGTGGAGTGTGTCCTTAATGTTAAGTTGAACTCTCACGGCTACAGGAACTTTTCAGCGGTCACCCCTACTAGTCTGTCATAACAAGATACATTTACAACCAGTAGATTGGTAAGGATGAAGCCAAGCAACTTTTTTTCACTCTTGGTTCCCTCACCATCTGCCAGCAGCTCAGAGAAGCTTTATGTCCTTTAGAGACCAAGTTGGATGAGTCCTAGTGGTACTGCTGAGCTGCTCCTGTTAATGGAGATTGAAACCCCCATCCAGGGGCCCGTCATGTTGCATCGATCATGATGCCATTCTAAATTAATCCCATCTGCCAGCACTTGACACATTTTTCTTCTACTCCATGTCTGTTCATGTGTCTGTCAATGCTTCTTAAATGTTGCTATCATTATCTGATTTGAGCACCTCCTCTGGCAGTGCATTTCAGGCAACTAACACCCTTCTTGTGTAAAATAACTTGTCTCACACATCTTTAAATTTTTCACCTCTCATCTTAAATCAATGCACCTCACCTTAAATCAACACGCCCAGTATTTGACATTTCCACCCTGGGTAAAAGACTCTGACAATCCAGCCTATCCATGCATCTCAATTTTTTATATTTCTATCAGGTCGCCCTTCAACCTTGAACATTCTAGCAAAAACAATCCAAACTTGTTCAAACTCTCTGAATGGCTAATACACTCCAATCCAGGCAATATCCTGGTAAATCTCTTCTGCACCCCCTGCAAAGCTTCTACATCATTGCTGTAGTATGGTGATCAGACTACACAATAGTGTAAATGTGATCTAGCTAAAGTTTATACACCTGTAACATGACTTGCCAACTTTTATATTCTGTGCCCTGACCAGTGAAAAATCCCACAGCACCAGGTTATAGTTCAACAGATTTATTTGAAAACACGAGCTTTCAGAAGGAGCGAGACTCTGAAAGCTTGTGTTTCAAATAAACATGTTGGACTATAACCTGGTGTCATGTGATTTTTGATTTTGTCCACCCCAGTCCAACACTGGCACCTCCACATCATGGTTGATCAATGAAGGCAAGCATGTCATAAGCTTTCTTTACCACCTTATCCACTTGTGTTGCCAATCACAGGGAGCTATGGACTTGCACCGCAAGATCCCTCTGTATATCAATGCTCACAAGGGTCCTGCCATTTATTGTATACTGTCCTCTTGCATTTGATCTCCCAGACTGTATCACCTCACAGTTGTCCGGATTAAACTCCACCTGTCATTTCTCTGCCCAACTTTCCATCACGTCTATATCCTGCTGTATTCTTTGACAACTTTCCTCGCTATTCACATTTCACCAGTTTTCGTGTCACCTGGAAAGTTACCTGTCAGACCACCTACGTTTTAATCCAGATCAATACAAATGATGGATGTCCTAGCACTATTCATTGCAGAAAGCCATTGGTCACAGACTTTGTCAGAAAAACACCCCTCCACAACTACTTTGTCTTCTATAACCAAGCAAATTTTGTATTCAATTTACCACATACTGTGGATTCCACAAGACTTAATCTTCTGGACTAGCCTACCTTGAGGGACCATGCCAAATACTTTAGTAAATCCATATAGTCTATATCCAAAGCCCTACTCTCATCAATCACCTTTGTCACTTCCTCAAAAAGGTCAACCAAATTAGTGAAACCTCACCCACACAAAGCCATGCTGACTCTCCCTTGTAATCCAGTTTTAAATATCAATAAATACGAAAGTTTATATTTGTGTATTAATAGTAAGAGGCTCATGTGCGGTTGTTTGGCTGAATAACCTGTTTCCGTGGTATTGATATTGCATAATGCAGTGGAATTGGACGTTGTTGTGAATTTGGCTTGTTTATTATCATCTCTTAGAGCAACTTGTTTGTGTAATCAAATTAAAGAGAGAACTCCGGTTGATGTTATATACATTGCAAAGATAGTAAACTATTTGAACTCTGGCTTTGATTTTGGACGAAATGTAAAAGAAAACGTGTATTTTTTTCCCTCGGGTAGTACAATACATAAACATTGATTAAAAAACTTCTTGAGATGAAACACTTCAACTTCATGCCAATTTTTAGCTTTTTTTACTGTGTTTATTTGTGTCGCCCATCTTTTTAATGCTATATTTAGCTTTTGCTGTTGTGAAAATATTGGAATCTATCTTTGGCTTCTGTTTCTTTAACTGTGTCCACTAATAGGGCTTTTCTTCCTTACCCAGGTGCAGACAGATGCACAACAAGTTGCAGAGGGGAAATTTGTATTTAACCTTCCTGATTATGAGAATGTCAATCACGTGGTAGTCTTTATGCTGGGGACAGCACCGTTCCCTGTAGGAACAGGAGGATCTGTGTATTTTTCGTATCCCGACAAGGATGGAATGCCAGTTTGGCAGTTGCTAGGATTCATAAGTAATGAAAAGCCTAGTGCAATCTTCAAAATATCACGGTTAAAGACAGGTAAGTAGAAGCAGGCCTTTCAATTTGGTGACTTATTAGCGGCAATAGTAAAAGAATGTACATCTATAGATACTCTCAGTTTCTGAAAGTAGTTTTATACTCAATTCAGTACTCTTGAAATGGCGTCACTCTTCAGTAGATGAATGCAGCAGCCAATTTCTTTTACCCCAGAGTCCCTCAAACAAAAATGAGATCAGTTGATCTACTTTGGTCCTGGAGGCACAGGGGCACCATTAAACACTTACAATTTATTGCACTAAGCTAACACTTTGCTTACCATAAATTACTTGCAGTGTTTAACATTCATTGCTGAAAAATCCAGTGCTCTTTCATTTTTGGAAGAGTCTGTTGAACTAGGTCCGACTGGGTAACCTTAGTCGAAGCTACAATAATTAAAAGGTTATTTTTTGCTCCTTCAATGAGAGATGGACACTATGGTCAAAAGCCACCAAATCAGATTTCTGAAGAAGGGTCCAGACCCGAAACGTCAGCTTTCCTGCTCCTCTGATGCTGCCTGGCCTGCTGTGTTCATCCAGCTCTGCACCTTGTTACCTCTGGAAATATTGTCAGTTCATATTTATTAGATATTTAGTTCTAAATATGGCAGGTTAAGTAGAAAGGGATTATAAAATAATTTGTCTTTTACATTTTATATTCCTCAATCCTCTTTCTTTTTTGGAGTTTTTGAATTTAGTTCTCGTTTGATCGATTACCTTCCCTTGTGGATGGACTGTTCTTGAGACATGGATAATGTTAGCTCAGACAACTTCATTGCTTTGCTTTTGTTGTTTGTGGATGATGGTCAAACTTCACGGATTGTTGCAGTCCTTTTCATAATGTTGTTAGATAGGAAATTCCAGTATTCTGACCAGTTGCAGCTTGTAGGCAAACTTGGAAATGATTAGGTGTTAAGAACATTGCTGCTCATGTTGTTGGTGGAGAGATCATAATGGAAGGAATGCCAAAGTAAAAGCGTTGATAGATGCATCTTGTGGATAACACAAACATGATCCACAGGACAGTGGTAGGTGTACACACCATGCAGCTCTTTGACTTGCTTCAATGGCTGCAGTTACAAGTGGTCAACATTGTTATAATTCTGGTTCAAGATTTATAGATGTTCGAGAGCCTTTGACAAAACAGGAGGTGAGCCATTTGCCAAGGAGTGCCTGCTGTTTTAGCTAAGCTGTTAATATGGCTGACCTAGTTCAGCATCTGTTCATTGGTAGTCTCCAGGTTTTTGGTGGAGCTGTTGAAGACTAGCAAGATATTGCTGGGAATTCTGTTGTTGATAATAGTCATTATATGGGATATGCAACGGTGTGACTGTTACTTGTCACGTGTGATATCAAGCTGTCTAAAGCCGCTGGCTGTTATATTGTGGCAGTGTGGCCACTGACCCTCCTCTGGTACTTTGCTTAAATGTTGGGGATGGGTTACTTCAGTTGGCTAGGCAGCTGGTTTGCAATGCAAAGTGACACCAACAGTGCAGGTTCAAGACTATGATGACTTTATATTACTATTTTTCAAAAATCAGTTTAGATAATGAATGGTATCAGGTTGTTTGGTGGGCAGCCAATTTGAAGTTGAGTTGAGGCAATCAATTGATAGCCTGAGTTCCATTTCTAAATATTTCTTCTGTTTTCATTTCCCTCCTAAGCCATCTTCACAGTAATAAGGACCTCAATGATCCACTCCAGTTTAGATCTGCTATTTCTCCACAAACTTAAAACTTCCTTGATCTGAGTTATTGCTATGCAGATGACTGTCTTTACTAACCAGATCCCTCAAGAATCATGCGGTGCATTGGGACACTAAATAGATTTGAGGAGGAGATAGACAGGTTTTTAATTAGTAATGGGTTAAAGGGTTATGGGGAGTGGGCAGGAAAGTGGAGTTGAGGCTGAGATGAGACCAACTATCATCATACTAAATGGCAGAGCAGGCTCAATTCCGCTTTCCTATTTTTAATACTAGATTCCTTTTGCAATAAATGTCAAAGTTCCATTTATCTGCCTTTGTACCTGTCTTACCTGTATAAAAGCTTTCTGTGACTCATGTACAAGAACACCCAGATTCAATGCACAGATGTATTTTGAAGTTTCTCTCCATATAGATAACAAGTTGACTTTTCATTCTTCCTGTCAAAATGGTTGACTTCACGTTTAACCATGGTTAAACTCTATCTGCCAAGTTTTGGTCCATTCACCTAACCTATTCATATCCATTTGTAAATTTCTTATTTCTTCATAGCAGCTTACTTTTACATGTGTTTTAGTGTTATCTGCAAATTTGGCTATTGTACATTCTGTCCAAGTCATTCATGTAAACGGCAAATAGTTGAACCCTGTGGCACCCCACTAGTTACAGATTGTAAACCAGCAAAAGACCCACTTTTCCCTTCTCTTTGCTTTCTGTTGGTTAGCCAATCCTCGATTCAAGCCAATTTATTACGGCTAATCCAGTGTGATCTTAAGTATTGACCTTTTGTGCAGCACCTTATCTATTGCCTTGGGGTTATAAAGTCTTACAGCATGGAAACAGACCCTTCGGTCCAACAAGTCCATGCTGACCATAGTCCCAAACTGAACTGGTCTCAACTGCCTGTGCTTGGTCCATATCCCTCGAACATCTCTTATTCATGCACTAATTTGAATATCTTTTAAACATTGTAAGAGATGCCTGCACCACTTCCTCTACAAGTTCATTCCACACACAAACCACTGTCTGTGTTTTAAAGAAAAAATTGCTCCTATGCCTTTTTTAAATCTTTCTCCTCTCACCTTAAAAATATGCCCCACCTAGTCTTGAAATCCCCCGGAAGTCCATGGAATTAGTGTGGAAATTAATAACATTGTGATCCAATGATATAAAACTTTTATAAATAAAGGTTTAAATTAGATATATCTATATATTCATCAAGAATTGATAAAATTCAACAATGGTATTGAATGTGCTATATTATTATCCTTTTGCAAATAATTCCCCTCAATCAGACTCTGCTGCTGAAACTATTCGTTTGTTTTAAACCTAAAGCTTAAAATCAAAGATCAAATATTTGTGTCGTACTTTTTAAAATTGCGCTATGGTCACTTTATTTTGTGGTGTGATTAAAAAGTAATGGGTTAATTCTTTTTATTTTCATCTTTGCTTTAAGCTGTTTCATTGTGATACAGTGCTTTTTTTTCTGGTTTTTACAGTTCTTTAGAAGAGTTTACATTGTATTGTTTTGGGTTTTCCTATAATTGCATATTCATAGAAATGTATGATCTCCTTGCAGAGGAAGTTGGACAGCATCCTTTTGGAATGATGAATATCGCACAAACTCAATCTGTTGCTCAAATAGGGATTTCTGTGGAACCTGTGGAATTATTGAAACAGCAGACCCCAGTAGCAAGCGCAGCTGTATCAACAGTCGATTCATTTACACAGGCAAGTCCAATAGCTAAGTTAGTTGGGTGACATTGTATTTGGCTTTAAAAAACAAACTTTTCATTGTGAAATCATCCCATAACACATTGTTTTGTAAATATTACATCAGGATCTTTCCTGCCTGGAATATCAGAAAAGGGTATGGATGCTGGTTATTTTGGTTTGTATCCTGGGATGCTGATTCTGCATTTTAATTAAATAAGTTTGCTGTAGTATTTAGTATAAAGTTGTTAATCGTAATATTTCATTGATTTCACATTTGTAAGTTTTTAGTATATGTTTGTCATTTTGAGAATCTTAAGTCTTTAAAAATCTTGATCTGTTGCCTATGGTAGGGCAGTATATTTATAATATGAAAAGGTTTCTTGAATGTAGATCTAAGATCACTTATAGTGAAGAGATATTCAGAAGGTTGAACAGATTTTTATGCATTTTTAAAAAGTGTTGTTATCATCCATTGAAGTTGTGAGCTGTGAAGTAGCTCTGATATTATCTGTTAGAGATAATAATAGCCTCTATAGCTATTAGCTCAGTGTTTTTTTTATTTAAAGGATATGGACACCGTGGCAATGTGACAATTAAAAGTCTTCAGTTGTACAAATGCAGGAAGAGGATAGGAGGTAGTATGACTTTTTCAGCATTTAGAAGGGTTAAATGTACCCATTGATAATATTAGAGTCCGTATCTATGTTCTGTGTTGCAGTGGTGTAATTGATCATCATCTTCCAAAATCTCAACCTGGAAAAAAATAGATGCTCTTGTGTTTGGAATTCTAATTGAGTCAGTATTTAATATTGCCTAACTTCCTCCCTTTGTTGTTGTTTCTTGCTTTCTTCTGGTAATCCAAAAGTAAAATGCAGTAAATTGTCAGTAAGCCCAAGACTGAGAGTATTGTACAGCCAGTCCTGATGGTCAGATCACAGATTATTCGATTCTAATTATCGAGTCATCTCTTTACTCTTAGTTCTTTACTGGTTAATTTTAATTGTCTGCAGAGTCTGAACAGATTCTGTATGCTTGAAAGTCCACAGTTAAATGTGGTATCCAGTACAGGACGAAACCCATTTTAGAAATTAAGTCTTTTCATGCTTATCTTTGATACTTTTGCACAATGAACTGATTAGTAAAGTGGATTCTAATTGACAGAACTAAAAGCTTAAAGCAGGTATAAGTTACACACCAGTTGATTTGTGATTCAGTCTGTTGACCAAATTTTGTGAAGAAATGACATTATCATGTGTTGGCTGTCTCTCCATAATTTGAAATTTCCAAAGTTTTAAATTTGGTTTCTGGATCACTTTGTTTCTTTTTGCCTTGGTTAGTGTGTGGGTCTTTGTATCATTCTTAATTGAAACTCCATCATTGAACGTAATTGATACTCTAGTTTTGACAGGTTTATAGTGTTTCAGAGATTTTAACTTTAATTAACAGTTGTTCTGTTAATTAGACACTTCCCTGTTTCCTCCAGCTTAAAGATGTTTTATCTTTAATGTGGCTAGAGTTGTGAGTTAACAACACAGACACAAGATATCTGGGACGCTGGTGAACAATGGGGCCAGAAATGTACCTCCTTAACTTATGAGATTTAAGAATTGGAGTAAAGAAAGGGTGAATTGGATAGATGAATTTAGTAACAAGAGGGAAGGAAATAGAGAAAACAGCAGTAGGGAAAGCATAAAATTTGGTGTTTGAAAAGTATCCAAATCAAATTGCTACATGTGGGATTGAGATTTTGTTTTTATATTTTCATTTTTCTGGACTAAAGATTGGCATTATTTAATCACTTCAGAAGCTATTAATTCTGTTGTTAATTGGTAGACTTGCAGAAAATTTAGTGGGTACATGGTGTACAAATACAAAAACTTAATGAAACTTGGGAGGTGAAAACTTTGTGATGCTAAGCATGACAACATGTTGCAATTTGTCACTGAAGTCATGGATCTTCACAAATTATTGGATGTTTCCTGCACTGAAAAATGCATCTGTTTACAATTTTTTTGCAAATGGACTACATTTTAATCAGTTGTGTAAATATGTTGTTTAAGTTAATTTACGTTCCAATTGCTGTCACAGTTAGAGATTGAGTTGTAACACTCTTAAAATTAACTTTTGCATATTTTTTCCTTTGTGCTTAGACAATTTTTCCAATTTTGCTTATGTTTGTTTAGATCAAAAAATGGTACAATAGCCATAGAATGTTTGCCAATAAAGCCTAAACAGAGGACAGCACTTCAATACTAAAACAGTTGAGTTCAGATTATTATTAATTATGAAAATTTTATGACTGTTATTGCTTCTGAGGCAACCACAGTATTGTCAGTTACTTTTTTAAGTTGCAGGGTCACTGGACTCAATTTTAACTCTGCTTCTCTCTCTCTCTCTACAGAAGCTGCCAGATCTGCTGAGTTTCTCCACCACTTTATATTTGTGTTTCAGGCTTCTTTAAAATTATCTGATTGCCTTTTCTTTTATGTAAATTGACGCCTGTTGCTCCGTATCAACTGAGGCCACAGCAACATCCAAGAGTGCAACAATGAAACTTAATGATTTCTGTTTTTTATACATGTACGTTCCTTCAACTTCTCCAAAAGGCATCTGAATTAGCTCTGAGTAGGGCAAAGTTTATTTTAAATTTTAAAATGCTTTATACTGTGGTATTAAAACACAGAATAACAGAGTGTAATCAATACACTACTGTTTGTATATTACAAAATAAAGAAAATGCAAATACTAGTTGTTCCAGTTGGTATTTGGCATCATTAAAAGTACAATTTTTCTATCCAATCGTTGTTGCGTGGACAATGTTTCACTTCCTCAATATTCTGTTGCTTGATTTTGGTGTCTTCTGACATTTTTTTTTTTTTAAAGCCTCCCTTTCACCAGTTGAAATATGGTATTTCTGATAAAAACAAAATGAAGTCATAAAAGTGTTTCACAACCTTACCATATCACAAAACATTTTATGGCTAATCAAGTATTGCTCCAGGGCATAGATCCTGTAGGAAGGATAGAAAGGATGTGGAGTGGCATTTTTCATTAGCGATAACAATACGGCTGTATTTAGGGAGGATGTTCCTGGGAGTATGTCCAGGGAAGTTATTTGGGTGGAACTGAAAAATAAGAAAGGGATGATCACCTTATTGGGGTTGTACTATAGACCCCCCAGTAGTCAGTGGGAAATTGTGAAATAAATTTGTAAGGACATTTCAGTTATCTATAAGAATAATAGGGTGATTATGGTAGGGGATTTTTAACTTTCCAAATGTAGACTGGGACTGTCATACTGTTAAAAGCTTGGTTGGAGAAGAATTTAAGTGTGTACAAGAAAATTTTCTGATTTGGTATGTGGATGTACCTAATAGAGAAGAAGCAAATCTTGACTGACTTTTGGGTAATAAGGCAGGGTGGGTGTAAGAGGTGTCAGTGGGGAGCACTTCGGGGCCAGTGATCATAATTCTATTAACTTTAAAATAGTGATGGAAAAGATAGACCGAATCTAAAAGTTAAAGTTCTAAATTGGAGGAAGGCAACTTTGACGGTATTGAGCAAGAACTTCCAAAAGTTGATTGAGGGCAGATGTTTGCAGGTGAAGGGACAGCTGGAAAATTGGAAGCCTTCAAAAATGAGATAATGAGAGGCCAGAGACAGTGTTCCAATAGGGTGAAGGGCAAGGCTGGTAGGTGTAGGGAATACTGGATGACGAGAAATTGAAATTTAGGTCAAAAAAAGAGTAGGAGGCATATGTCAGGTATAGACAGCAGGGATTGAGTAAATCCCTAGAAGAGTATAAAGGCAGTAGAAGTATACTTTAGAGGGAAATCAGAAGGCAAAAACGTGACATGACAAATAGGGTTAAAGGAGAACCCAAAGGGATTCTGCAAATACATAAGCACAAAAGAGTAACTAGGGAGAGAATAGGGCCCTTAAAGATCAGCAAGGCTGCCTAAATGTGGAACCACAGGAGATGGGGGAGGTACTAAATTAGTATTCTGCATTAGTGCTTACTGTGGAGAAGGATATGGAAGATATAGAATGTGGGGAAATAAATAGTGACATCTTGAAAAATGTCCATATTACAAAGGAGGAGGTGCTCAACATCCTAAATCACATGAGGGTGGATAAATCCCCCGGAACAAGTGTACCCTACAACTCTGTGGGAAGCTAGGGAAGGGATTGCTGGGCCCCATGCTGAGATATTTGTATCATCGTTAGCCACGAGTGAGGTGCTGGAAGACTGGAGGTTGGCTAACGTGATGCTCCTACTTAAGAAGGGTGGTAAACTCAGGGAACTATAGACTGGTGAGCCTAACATCGGTGGTGGGCACATTGTTGGAGGGAATCCTGAGGGACAGGATTCGCATGTATTTGGAAAAGCAGGGACTGATTAGGAATAGGCAGCATAGCTTTGTGCATGGGAAATCGTGTCTCGCTAACTTGATTGATTTTTTTTTTTTTTTTTTGAAGAAGTAACAAAGAAGATTGAGGGCAGGGCGGTGGATGTGATTTGTATGGACTTGAGTAAGGCGTTAGACAAGGTTCCCCAAGGTAGACTGGTTAGCAAGATTAGATAACACAGAATACTGTGAGAACTAGCCATTTGGATACAGAACTGGCTGAAGGTAGTAGACAGAGGGTGGTGGTGGAGGGTTGCTTTTCAAACTGGAGGCCTGTGACCAGCGGTGTGCCACAAGGATCAGTGCTGGGTCCATTGCTTTTTGTCATTTTATACAAATGATTTGGAACCTAGGAGGTATGGTTAGTAGGTTTACAGATGACACCAAAATTGGAGGTGTAGCGGATTGAAAAGAAGGTTACCTCCAAGTACAACGTGATCTTGATCAGATGAGCCAATGGGCTTGGGAGTGGCAGCTGGATTTTAATTTAGATAAATGTGAGGTTCTGCATTTGGGAAAGGCAAATCCGGGCAGGACTTACACACTTAATGGTAAGGTCCTGGGGAATGTTGTTGAACAGGGAGACCTTGGAGTGCAGTTCACAGTTCCTTGTAAGTGGAGTCACAGGTAGACAGGACAGTGAAGAAAGCGTTTGGTATGCTTGCCTTTCTCAGTCAGTGCATTGAGTGTAGGAGTTGGGAGGTCATGTTGCAGCTGTACATGATATTGGTTAGGCCACTTTTGGAATACCGTCTGCACTTCTGGTCTCCCTGTTATTGGAAGGATGTTGTGAAACTTGTAAGGGTTCAGAAAAAGATTTACGAGGATGTTGCCAGAGTTGGAGGGTTTAAGCTACAAGGAGAGGCTGAATAGACTGGGGCTGTTTTCCCTGGATCGTTGGAGGCTGAGGGGTGACCTTATAGAGGTTTATAAAATCATGAGGAGCGTGGATAAGGTGAATAGCCAAGGTCTTTTCCCCGCGATGGGGGGAGTCCAAAACTAGAGGGCATATGTTTAAGGTGAGAGGACAAAGATTTAAAAGGGACCTTAAGGGTAACTTTTTCATGCAGAGGGTGGTGCATATATGGACTAGATTTATTTACAATATCTGGTTGGCATGGACGATTTGGACCGAAGGGTCTGTTTCTTTGCTGTACATCTCCATGACTCTAAGTATCTTTTCAAGTGTAGTTTCTGTTGTAATGTAAGAATTGCAACATCCAGTTGAATTTAATTAGGACTGGATAAACTGGTTTTGTGATGTTGATTGAGGAGTAAATATCGGCCATGATATAAATTATTGATCAATTTTTTTCTGAGAAAAACTTGCAAACTCCCTTCTCTAAATGTCATTTAGTTTTCATGTTGATCCAAAGCCCAGCATGGATCTGTTTTGGGAAGCTCATCTCTTTTGGGTACATTTTTGTTCTTTTAAAACAAACAAACTCGAACATAACTCATGTCCAAATCTTTTCTGTGAAATAATTCTAAACGTGACACTGACTTTATAGATTTCTACCACAAATATTGTTTTGAAAATCTGCTGGCATTTACAGCCATAGTAGTTGATCATAACTGAAGTGCCTGGTTGCTTCTGTGGACCATTTTGTACCTCTAGGCTGCTGCAGTTCACTTTTTTTGTTTTTTTTTGCAAAATGTTAACACTGTAATATGAATACCCTCTCAATTATTATAAACTTCTTATACTTTCAGTTTACACAGAAGATGCTAGACAACTTCTATAATTTTTCAACCTCATTTGCACTGACCCAGGCTCAGATGATCCCAAATCCCTCTGAGATGTTTATCCCAGCAAGTATTGTCTTGAAATGGTAAATATACATCTGTTTTGCATGTCCATTTACAATAGCACGTACAAATATGGTTAGTTTTCTCTTGATGAATGTATCTTGTTCGAACTTTTGTTTTGGAAATGTTTTTGAATCTTGCTGATGCCATATCTAATTAAAAGATTACAGTCTTAAATTATTCGTTACTTGTTAAGAACTTCACATGTTCCATAATATGGGAAGCAGCTATGTTGCTACAGTTTGAAATAAAATTGATCATCTATTAAAATAAAGGTCTGGTGTACATGTATAAGGCAGGGGAATCTTTTGATGTGTTGGGTAGAACTAGAAAAGTATGTAGCTATTTGAAAAGTTTGTCAAGCACAATGATGCACATTATTTGCATTTGATGCAAGGAGCTCGTCAAAATAAAAGTATGTAAAAAATTATTTCACTGTCCTACTCCTTTCACTAAATAATAGCAGTGAATAACAGTAGGCTCCTACATAGGTACTCAGTCACTTCCCTGGAAAACGGTATTTCAAGCTCCTTTCATAATGACCTCAAAGTCTTCAGCACCCTAGTTTATAATTCCTAAAACAAAGATTTTTGAAATGTTCCAAAGAATAAACAAAGTGCTCCTACTGTACAGTGTACGCATTTCATATTAATTATTTTGTGTAATGAGGTTAACCTTTTCCTAAAGCAAACGTTGTTTATGTGCGACTTTGAATATTCTCATTCTTTATCTATGGCGTTTATTTACCCCTTTGACTCTGTTCACTTTTATTTAATAAGCTGGAACTTAATTTAGTAGGACTGCCAAAATTTTGCCAGAATTCAAATCTCGAAAACAAAATTATTCCTACTTGTGCTTCCTTTGCATGCCAGTGTGGAATTAAGGAATATAATTTAAAAATGAGAGGCCATCTTATTTAAGACTGAGGGTTGAATCTTTTTGAGCTGCCTACCCCAGAAAATAGTACAGCAGGGTAATTAAGTATTCTTTAAATCGAGATAAGCGTATACTTTGTTTCCTAGCCATGAATTTCTGGGTTATGGGGGAAAAGTGTAGTTGATAACATGATCAAATCAACCATGATGTTATTTAAATGGTGGAGAAGCACCAAAGGGGCTGAAAGACCTACTCCTAATTCAAATAATTGTAATTGATTTTAGAATGTTTGCTCTTTGGGTGGAAAACTTTTTAATTAGTGCCATGTTATGTATGTATCCGTGTTATGTGTGTAATTTTTTAATGTTGATATAATACAGATGTAACTGGTTTGTTAATCCTTGCACTGCTTTCAACAGTAGCTTCATCAGACTTTAAAGTATTATTTCTGTAATTAAGGAGAAGTGTATCTACCCCTTTTGAAAGTTCTAGAATACCATTTCCTCTACGTCGAAAGAACTCCTCTATTAATTTTTGCTGTACTTATCAATTTTCTCACTTCATCTTCTGTCAGGATACCTTCCTGGTGATGGATTCAACAGGCCTGTCAGTTTTTCATTGGAAAGTTCTGTATTTTCCCTAACCTTTTTGAGGAGAGAGAATTGGATGGCAGTGTTCATTTTAAGCTACTTTTATGAACTCAAAATATGGGTTATATATTATGTGGTAGTTAACCTGACATTTTCTATGTGTATTGTGTCTAGGTTTGTTGCCCTTGATATCTGTTGCTTTTAACTTACTGCTACATTTCTTGGAGTCATGTTGCTTACGGTCACCAGTGTGTAGGGAGAGCAGGTCAGGTGACTGCTTGGTGGTTCTGCTCTTGGGCTTAGGTAAATATGCTGTCAACAAATCTATGATGTATTGGATTGCTGACAAAGTATTTTCACCGACTTCTGAATATACTTAGAGTTTTACTAAGTGTCAGGGTGACAATGGAATGAATTCATCAGGATGCTGAAAGCTTTCACTGACCATTGGGTGAAGCAGTAGATTGCTGGACTATTAATTTATGATGTAATTGCATATGACGTTCAAATTGATTTTGAGTTTTGTTTTCCGCCCCGCTCCCCCCTCCCCCACTCCCAGAACCGAAAGTGCTGGTCAATAGAAAACAAGACTAGAGCTTTTTAGCTTGAATCAGATGTACTTCTACTGAAATCCAGTATTAATCGTATTTGTATTGCCTAAACGTTCAAAGGGACCATATGCTGCTCCTACACTCCTGTTACCATGTCATTTTCTGATTTCATTGGGGAACAGGACCACCTTAAATCAGTTGCTGACTTAACAGTTGATCTATTAATCTGATTAATTTTAATTCTAACAGAACAATTTTTTAATTCTAATATGTTGTATAATTCTGGGATTTCAATCTAAATGTATGAAAAAGGTAAGTGAAAGTTTTAACTTGGATGGTTGTTTTGTTTTCATAACTGTTTCTTCAATATAGAGCTGAAAACCTTTAAACGTTGATATTAAGAAGTTCGAGTGCATTTATTTATTCAACTAGCATACATTCCTTTAAGAAATGTTGTCAGTTACGGAAGGTTTGAGTTATAAAGAAAGGCTGGATAGGCTGGGACTCTTTTCACTAAAGTGTAGGAGGTTGAGAAGCAAGCTGATAGAAATTTATAAAATAATGAGGGGTACAGATAGAGTTAATGGTGGTTGTCTTTTCCCTAGGATGGTAATTTTGAGATCGGAGGGGGGGCACATTTTTAAGGTAAGAGGAGAGAGATATAAAAAAGATATGAGGGACACATTTTCTTCACACAGAAGGTGGTTCATGTGTGGAATGAACGTCCTGAGGAAGTGGTGGATGTAGGTACAGTTACAACGTTTAAAAGACATTTGGATAAGTACATGAATAGGAAAGGTTTGAAGGGATATGGGCCAGGAACAAGCAGGTACGACTAGTTTAGTTTGGGATTATGTTTGGCAGGGACTGTTTCCCTTCTGTATGACTCTGTTACAAGTTTTTCCTTTCTGACCGTAAGGGCAACTCAAGTCAATTTTTGAAAAAGTATTTCACAGTTTAGATGTTGACATTGTTATATGTATATTTGCCAATATATTCTGCTCTTGCATACTAGTTATTGTATTAAATTGAGTTTTTAATGGCTTATTATATACATTGCTAATTACCACTTGGGTTATTGTATTAACCTCCTTATCTTTAGCGATTCATCAATAAGAAATATACTATTTAGTTCTTCTTTTATTTAAAAATGGAAGGAAAAAACAGGCAAATATAGGCCAGTTAATTTAATTTGTTATTGGGAAAATGTTAGTCTATTATAAGGGATCCAATCAAGAATGTTTAGAAATACACAATATGATCAAGCAGAGTCAGAATGACTTTGACTGTGTGAAGGGCAAATTATACTTGATAGATTTACTGGAATTCTTCTGAGAAAGAAATGAGCAGGATAAATAAAGGGGAAGCAGTAGATGTAATGTATTTGGATTTTCAAAAGGCATTTAATAAGGTCCAGCACTTTTGGCTACTTAATAAGACAAGTGCTCTTGATGTTGCAGGTAGTATATTAGTATATGGATAGAAGATTGATTAACTACTAGAAAACAGGCAAGGGGGGTAAGAGGAGCATTTTCAGGATGGCAACTGTAACTCGTGGAGTGCCATGGGTCAATGCTGGGGCCACAACTCTTGAAGATATATTAATTATTTAGATGAGGACTGTGAATGTACTGTAGCCAAGTTTGCAAAGGGGACAGAAGTAGGTGGGAAAGCAAGTATTGAGGATGACACAAAGTCTGCAGAGGGATATAGACAGGTTACATGAGTGGGGAAAATATAGCAGATGGAATGCAGTGTGTGGAAAACGTGAAGTTCCGCACTTTGACAGAAAGAATGGAGATGCTGAATATTTAACTGGAGAAAGACTGCAGAAAGATACAGGACAGATCAAGTTACAGAGAGCTAGCATCCATGTTCAGCAAGTAATAGGGAAGGGAAATGGAATGTTGGCCTTTATTTCAAGAAGAATGGATTATGAAAACAGGGCGATTTTGATAAAACTATACCAGACACTAGTCAGACCATAGCTGGAATACTGTGAATATTGAAACATAGGAGATTCTTAGTGGACTTGACAGGGTTGGTGTGGAGAGGTTATTGCCCCTTGTGGGATAGTCCAGGACTAGAGGGTATAATCTCGGAATAAGGGTTGCACATTTAAGACAGAGATGGAGGAATTTGCTCTCTGAGGGTATTGAAACTGTGAATTCTTTACCATAGAGGACTTTCAAGGGTGGGTTTTAAGTATATTCAAAGCTGAGATATTTTTCTGATTAAAAATCTGTCAAGGGTTCTTGAGAAAAGACAGGGAAGTGGAGTGGAGGATTATCAGATCAGTCATAACTCATTGAATAGGTGGAGCAGACTGAATAGGCTGAATGGTCTCTTGGTCTATTTCTGCTCGTGTCATGTGGTCTTCCTCCACGTGTATCTCTTTTAATCAGAATCTGTTCAGAAATTAGTAAATACTCATTTTGATCTGTTATACAAGAAGCAGAACTGCAGCTGTTTGTAACCTAGTTTTCTCTTTAGTCTCTGTTTTGAAAGTGAAGTATTTTAAAGTGGCCCTAATCGCAAAGTAAACATTAAAGTAAGAAGGCAGTAACAATTTGCTGCTAATCCTGGTGTTCTTTCTCTTTTTTCCATTCCTCAGGTATGAGAATTTTCACCGAAGATTGTCCCAAAATCCAAATTTTTGGAAATCGTAAACAATATTCACGAGAAGATAATGTTACAGCCAACAGTGTTGAATTTGTGTAAACTGATTTTTGCAATCCTTTGCAAGATGTTTTGAATACATGCTGCTTTTCATAGTAATCACGCTGGTTTGAAAATTATTTTGGAACATTTTGCTTGTGATACCTGTCACACTTTGTTGTTATAATGGATAATAACAACCTCACTAATCATGTCTGAATTGACATTTGCATTCTCAAAATGGATTCTAAATTGGAATTGAAAGTCTAAGAATATGTGGAATTGTATAATATTGTGAACATTCATTATAATATGCCACAAGTGGGTTGGCAGTCATATCGGGAGAAATATCTCATAGGGAATTCTGCTCAAGATAAATCTTTATGCAGCTATACACTCCTTTCGCACTCACTGTCGTGTCTAAGATGTTCCTTTGTTCTCACTTGCATCTTTTTCTACCATCAGTGCCAGTGATTAAATTTGCTTTATAAAGAGAGGCCTTTATGCTTTTTTTACAAATACTGCTTTATGTTAGCTTAAGTTTTATATTGGCTACTTCGATCCAGTTAATAATATACATAACCCTGTCTTGTTATAAGATCTGACTGAAGTTCCAGAAGACTGTGAATGGAAAAATTGGGCTGCAGACATTTCTACTGCTTAAAATGTGTACAGGAATCATGTATATTGTCTATGCATCTTAGCCAACATTTTGTTCCTAACTTCAGCATCAAAGATAATTGTTTCAACACATTGCTTTGAGTCAGGACTACAGAGCAACATACTGAAGATGTTGGAAATTTCTGGAGCAAGAAATGGAATTAACCTTACAGGTCAATGACTTTTTATAAACTAAGATTTTCTCTCCATAGATGCTATGTGACTTGTGTAGTTTCATATTGATAAACTGCCCAAAATAGAATGTGAATGTAAATATATGACTAGTAAATGGTGTCTTTGACATGTCATAAATTTCATATACGTAGAAGTAGTTTTGCAGTGGCCCAGGATATTTTATTGAGCACTGAGTCTTTAAGCAGAAAGGAATAGGCAGATGAGCAATAACATAGAAAATATCTAGTTCAGATATCATTGCATATACCTGGAGCTTCCTGCAAGGTTAAATGCTGAAGAATGGGAAAGAAATGCCACGAGGGAAAAGCTAAGTATTTAGAATGCATTACTGAAATGGGAAATGGATAAATTGTAAAGGAAAGAGTCATGTAGGTGGAGTAATGTAGCCTTAGTTGAACACTCGGAAAGAAATGTTTATACAGTCCATAAAAAGAATAATCACTGCTTAATGTGGATCTCAAATAGTGTCGACTAATTGCTCGTCTAAAATTAGAAGCTTAATGTCCCCGGAAGGGACTGCAGATGTCATTTAATTCAGCCTTCACACAAGTTGAAAAGCTTCCAAAACTCTTCCACCTTTTGGCAGAATATAAAGAGAATCTTTTGCAACTGATCTGTATATGGAGAGTTTACATGGACCATTATATCCAAACAAACTGAAAATTAATAACGTGATTCAAAAAGTTATTAACATGTAAATACTTTTCTCCTTTTTAACTTCACAATTCACTAGAGGTACATGGGCATGAAAGCTTGAAAGTGCAGTATAGAAGTAAGTTTTCAGGAAAGAAAAGCAATATTAATTTACCTTTTGAGATTTGGTCCTAGTGATAGACATTTGCACTGTTCCAGAAGCATAACTCTCCAGTTATTATCAATTTGAATTTTACTTTTAAATGTTAAATTGAGACCATTGGTGTTGGGTTATGCTAATAGTTGCAGCAGTGCAATCACAAATTATCTGTAGCACTTGAATGATTAATCATATACCTAGTCTGCATTCCTTGCTAGAGATTGAATCTCCTGGAAAGTATTACAACATTTCACTCTTATAATGAAAGATTGATGGCCAACGCTATATTAGTAGTGCCATAATACAATCCTCAAATACTCTAATAATAGAACATTGGTGCAGAACATACAAAGATTATATAAAAATCGAAAGAACTGCAGATGCTGTAAATCAGGAACAAAAACAGAAGTTGCTGGAAAGGCTCAGCAGGTCTGGCAGTAAAGAGTCACCTGATCTGAAACGTTAACTCTGGATTTTCTTCACAAATGCTGCCAGGTGTGCTGAGCTTTTCCAGGAACTTCTGTTTCTGTTCCTGATTTACAGCAACTGCAGTTCTTTTTAAACTACTACCTGTACTTTCAGAGTCTCCCACAAGAGAAAACATCTTTTCTACATGCATCTCATCAAATTTCCTCACCAGGATCTTGTTTGTTTCAATTAAGTCTCCTATGAACCTTCTGAACTCCAAAAGATACAGGCCTAGCCTGTTGAATCCTTCCTCATAAGGCAGTTGGCTCATTCCAGCTATTAGTCTCATAAACCTTTAAAATGCTTCCAGCATATTAACATCCTTCCATAAGTACAGTGACCTGTACTCCAGACGTGCTCTCATCAATGCCCTGTATAAGTGAAGCACAGCATCCCTATTCTTGCTTTCAGTTCCCTTACAAAAAAACATAACATTCTATTACCTTTCCTGATTACTTGTTGTACCTGCATACTACTGTGATTCATGCAGTGGGACACCCAGATATTTCTATTTCAGAGCTCTGCAACCTGTCGCCATTTAGATTTTTAAAAAATATTTCTGCCAGAATGGACAATTTCACATTTTCCCACATTATACTCCATTTCCTAGATCTTTGCCCATTCACTTAACCAATCTATTTGTTTCGTAAGTCCTTTACATAACTCACCTTTGCTACCTATTCTTGTGTCTTCAGTAAATTTAGCTACCATACCTTTTTGTTCCTTTAACCAAGTCATTTTTATATAAATTGTAAAGAGTTGAGGCCTCAGCAATTACCCTGACGCACCATTTATGACATCCTGGCAGCCTATGTATTCATATTGTCTGCTTCCTGTTAGCCAGTCAATTTTCTATTCATGCCAGCTTGGTACCCCCAACATAATGAGCTCTTAATTTCCAAGTTGGTCAGTAGACTAACAGTACTGACCAACTTCTGCCACTGGATCGAGCCTGGTCTGTCTGAAAATATTGAAAGTGCATTTTTCAATATGATACTGTATTTCTTTTCTATGTAGTGTGGTATTTTAGTTTACATTTTATTACAGCTAGGAATGCACAGTACAGTATTTAAACTTATCCTTTTCTGGGCTTGAAATGACCAATGGAACTTAACTGTGGCTTAGTATTGATTCTTGTGGGAATCAGTGATTTATTTTGTCATTTCACTTAGTTGTGATTTTCAGGGATGCAATTACATCTCGTGCAGACTTTGCAAATAGTTGCTACTTTTCCTAGTGCTATTGGTTCCAAAATGCATGAGAACAGCTGGATCCTTTCTTATGTTTGTCTTTAGCCTTAGAAGTAGCCAGAATTTAGTAGATCCCTGTGTAAGAGGTACGTAAACATTTTGTGCACCTCACATGATTTTCCCCTTACTGCTTACATACCTGGATGAGATTTGACCAATGTCTAGAGCAAAGTGAGATAACAAGGTGTAGAGCTGGATGAACACAGCAGGCCAAGCAGCATCATAGGAGCAGGAAGGCTGACGTTTCGGGCCTAGACCTTCGAAGGGTTGTGTTGTGTTGTGTTCATCCAGCTCTACACCTTGTTATCTCAGATTCTCCAGCATCTGCAGTTCCTACTATCTTTAGAACTGTCTATTTTCACCTCTGTCTTTGCCCTACCTTCAACTTCCTCAAAAATAAGTGACAATCTTGTTTTCAGAAAGTTCCCATTAACTTTTTAGGAAACAATTTTTTGCGTAGGCTGTTTATCTGCCTGAAAGGGTGGCAGAGACAAGAACCATCAAGTCATTTAAGTAGTATTTACTCTCCTGAGGAAGAGTGTAAGAGCAGAGGGCATCATTTTATAATAAAGGGTTGCCCATATAAGACATGTGAAGTGGTTTGTAGACTTGCTCGCTGAGCTGGTGTGTTTGATTGCAGACGTTTCATCACCCTGCTAGGTAACATTGTCAATGTGCCTCCAGTGAAGCGTTGGTATTCTGTCCCACTTGTTATTTATATGCCTCAGTTTGCTGGGGTGGTTGGTATTACTCCTAGTTTTGTTTTTCAGTCGGTTATATATCATGTCCAGTTCAATGTGTTTGTTGGTGGAGTTCCAGTTGGAATGCCAGGCCTCCAGGAATTTCCCAGCGTATCTCTGTTTGGCTCGTGCTATTATGGATGTGTTGTCCCAGTCGAATTAGTGTCCTCCTTTGTCCATTGTGTATTGAGACGAGTGAGAATTGGTCGTGTTTCATGGTGGCTAGTTGGTGTTCGTGTATCCTTTTATTGCTGGTTTTCTTCCAGTTTGGCCTATATAATGTTTTTCACAGTCCTTGCATGGTATTTTGTATATTACGTTAGTTTTATTGGTTGTGGGTATGAACTCCTTTACGTTCATCAGTAGGTGTTGCTGAAATATGTAGTTGACAACACTACCCACTCCATCCACTCCTCGCAAGAATTCCTCAACATCATCAAGGACACCAGAATAGAAAAGGACGAAATAATGATGTCCTTTGATGTAACAGTGCTATTTACATCCATAAAAATCAACCAAGCCAAAGTGACAATTACCACACTGCTGGATGAATCAGGAAGGCACACACCCCACAACACCAACAGCATCAACAAGGACAGCATCCTGAAACTGCTGGATCTGTGCCTCACAACCCACTTCACCTTCAATGACCGTATATTCAAACAAATCAATGGGACACCAGCTAGATCCCCAATATCAGGACTGATTGCAGAAGTGGTAATGCAAAGGTTAGAATGAACAGCACTCCCCACTATACAACCCAAACTCTGGGTCTGCTGTGTAGATGACACCTGTGTGATTATCAAATGCACAAGACTAGAAAAAACCCACCAACACACAAAAACCTCACCAGAACAAAATTCACTAAAGAAGAGAACAATAACAGGCTACCCTTCCTAGACATAATGGTAGAACGTAACAACAATGGAGAACTCCAGCCAGCCAACACCCATAAATGGAGCTGCAGCAGGACATTATTCAAATGGGCCACAACACACTGCTGCCATCTGGAATTGTGCAAAGCAGAACAGGAGCACTTCTATGAGTTTTTAAAAGGAATGGTTACTCAAAAAACACAATCCGCCGTTACCTTCGTGACAGACACAACACAGCTAGTCACACTAGTCACCCTACAGTACATCTGAGATGACCAAAAGACTACTCAGACTCCTAGATATCAGGGTAGCCCACAAACCAACAACCACCCTGTGACAACTACTGACAAATGTAAAGGATCCCTCACCCACAACCAATAAAACTAACACAATATATCAAACACCGAGCAAGGACTGTGAAAAGCATTACATAGGCCTAACTGGAAGAAAACCAACAATAAGGATGTGCGAACACCAACTAGCCACCAAGAGACATGACCAATTCTCACTGGTCTCAATAAATATGGACAGAGAAGGACATGAATTCGAGTGGGTCAACATATCCATAATAGCATGAGCCAAACAGAGATATGCCAGGGAATTCTGGAGACCTGGCATTCCAACTGGAACTCCATCAACAAACACATTGAACTGGACATGATATATAAACCACAGAAAAAACAGAATCAGAAGTAATGCCAACCATCCCAGCAAACTGAGGCATATAAGTAATAAGCGGGATAGAACACCAATGTTTCACTGGAGCTGCACTGACGATGTTACCTAGCAGGGTGATGAAATGTCTGCAGTCAAACACACTGGCTCAGCGAGCAAGTCTACAACCACATCCAC